AACCATCGCCGGGACGTATCTAACACATTCTAGTCTCTTAAATCAAGGTTACGTTATGGGGGATGAATATAGTTGCAATTCCGAAGGTAAAAGTCATGTGTAGGCCTACCAAAACACACCCTCGCCCCTCGTTCAAAGCAATTACGTAAAGTTGACCTCCAATTGTGGAGATGATCAGCAGTGATGATTTTACGCGGGAGAAAATCCTTTCTAAACAAGCTAACTCTTTATATAAAAAATTATATTGGAAAATTAGAACAGTTGATTCAATGTGTACACTATTTCTACTTTTAGTTTACCTGTGTTGCCGTCGACACTCGTGGTCGAGGTGGCCATCTTGATGTAATTTCGTATCTTGACTCCAGGTACAGAAACCTGGTTCATAAAACTTTTTCACAATATCGTCTTCCACACCATGGCTATGTGCAGTAAACATCAATTCAGCTCATCTTCAGTTATTGCTGTCTTAAGCTGCCAAAACATACAACGTAAACGCACCCATTGAATAGATCAAAACGAAATTTTCACACAACTATTTCGCTAGTGTGTCTAAAAGCCGTTCGGTCTCTTATTTCGAATTTGTTGTACAATACTAGATGAAACCAGCATCTCGCCCTCCAATTTGGAACTACCGGGTGTGGTGCTAGTAACCTACATGGGCAAGTACTAAGTAGAGTGACAACTCCCATCCAGCCTCCACCACCTACCTGTTAGGCTGCCACACCTTGCTAATTGCCCCCTCATCAAGCTGGAGTCTTCCTGTATATCTAATTCTTACAATAATGCGGGACTTCAACCAATGAATATGGTTTCTGCAATTATAATACTAATAATAACAATAAGAAAAATCAGAAGCTTCAGTTTGGTAAATTTATATAACACAATGGAATTTCTTCCTTTCAATGAATCAATCACTCCAGCAAGGGCAAGAGCCAACATTGATATCGCATTATAACTTGCATGACGACTTTGTAAGCATATAGGGCCATGAAGTGCATTCAATACGCATAAGTTCTTTATATAAATGAGATTTAGATTATAGCGCGTTGGTAAGTGATGATTCAGTTGTCACAGCGTGTATTTATATATTGATAAATAATCTTAAAGAGCACCCTTCAAGGATTGTTTTTTAGCTAAAATGCTTGTCTGCTGATGACAATGCAATAATCATGAGACATCACTGAAACTGATATTCATTTTAAACAATAATTAAAATCAGTAATCATAAAATATAAGTACTACAGTATATAATGGCGCTTTTTAATATTTCATCAAAACTTATTATCAAATATTCTTGAACATAAATACAATATCAAGAAATAAATACACTATGTGGAGACATTAAAAGTTTAATTTCAACATACATTCACGTGAGGTTACAGTAATAAGTTTTAGTTGTTGAGCACTGCCACGAGGTCTGGAACAATTACTATGCAGTTATAGGTTATGTAGGAGCCGTGGTGTTTAGCACATCCCAGCGGCAACTCCTTACCTAAGACATTATTTAACGAAGGGATATTTTACCATTTTAGATTTCTAAATCAAGGGAATGTCTATGTGGGAAACATCGACAAAATGAAAATATTAAAATATTCGAAAAAAATGCTATAAAATTCCCGGTGTTGCAAACAAACAGGTGGCGAGACGCGTAGAACAGGTGGGTAAGGACCTCTTGACTGGTTCAGGGATTGTAGGCAGCCAAGGTTAACGCGTTACTCACTGAAAGTTGAGTGAAAGGCTGAGCCGCCTTTAGAACCATTCAGTCTCAGGTTTATTTGAGTACCGGTTTAGCAAATTCCTCTAAACATAAGAATATATCAAAATTTGTTTATTACGGAATGACTTTTTTAAACTTACTAACTGAACAACTTACTTGTAGGATAGTGGTTAAGTAACACCGCTGTCGCCACACTAACAGTAACAGAAGGTAAACAAACATTAGCAGATATTTTCAGAAGATGAGAAAGTAAACTACTTCTCCGTCAATACTGTGCTCCTTGTGACTACTAAGGTCCTCCAGAGTACACGCGCTATTTCAACTGAGCCCTTGTTCAATAGGTGGAGCTTCATTTGAGATTTTTCGTCCTGTTTATTTCGTTCATTCAAAGATCATTAATTCTTGGCTAAGTTGCTCAGTTTATCGTGTATACATACTACTTTAGTTCAACTTCTAAATAATTAAAGGCATTTTGCAATAATCGGATGAAATAATTCATGCATCATTTTCACGTTGCTTGTGTTATATTCATTTAATTTGACCAAGGACAGCTGATAAAGGCTGAGAGGCTTGGTTCCAGTAGACCCAACGTTGCTTAACTTCGCTGATCGGGCAAGAAACAGTGATCAAATCATTATATCATAAATGAGAATAGTTTAATTCATATTTCAGTGCCACTAAGGAAAAACAGGTGAGACAAATCCACGTTGTATACACAAATAACAACCGAGTCAACGAGTGACAACTATCTGGGTTAGGTTAGGTTAGAACAAGAGACAGGCGGGCCACATAACCCGCTCAGTTCAATCACTCATATTTAAAGGGCAACCTTTTAATGTCGCAAGAACTCAATAAAGGTCCTTATAATATCACCGCCATTCAATTCTAAGGGGTTCTGACCTGACCTATAAATATTGTCAACAAACGGTATTTGAGGTCTAAGGTCCTTTTGTCAGCGCCAATCAGCGTTCAAGTCTAACCTATTTGGTTTACCTGTTTTCTGACCTTGTGTTCTGTGCTAAATGACTTTATCTGTTGAAGCATGTTAAGTGAATACAATACACTGCAACAACAACCAATAGAAAATTTTATTTCCTCTACAACTGTGTGTAAGATCAACTTCATTTAGAATTTTTTGCACAAATAAAGTATCAAAAACATATCCAGGAATAAGATCAAGTAGCACCATACCTAGCGTCATCTCGGGTGTGGACGTTGGTGTCCTGCAAAACTACTTTCACTAACGTTTGGAGGTCGTTGGGTGTACCAGACGCCGCTAGACGGGATAACGGCAGGGTGCGCGCCCCGCCCGTCCACCTTTGAGTCATTAGTAAACATGAATAGCATTTTTCAGGGTTTTATCTCTCTTTTTTTTTGTTAGAATGATGTAATTACTAAAATTGTTACGCGCTTGAAGACCTTCGTTGTTGAAGCGCAGTAATATCATTATAACAACAAAGCATTTATGAATTCCTTTCTTGTGAAGATTATGCAAACGCCTTTCACAGATTTAAATTGTTCTGAAATAATCTTGCTAGGCTTAAAATTATTCAACAAAATACAGTAATTTTTCCTTGGAATGACATCGGTAATACTATGTAAAGGTCATAATTTCATAATAATATTTAGACACCAGATATATTATACATTCTATTTCGTGAATATTTTGTTCATATGCCGGAGCTGAGTGGAAAGCAATTCCTAATATTCAGGATATCAGAAAAGCCATCATTTTTATCTATGCGTTGAATATTATTAATTTTAATAATTTTTTAAGAAATTATCAATATGTTATCTCTTCTCTAATTTTAACATAACAAGAAATTATTGTTCCTTTAGCTAAAACTAAATAACAGTTACTTTGGTGAAGATAGATCCCCAAGGCAATACAAGAACGTCCATTAACTAAAGCTACCCTACAATACTTCATACTGTACTCTCGCACCTACCCTGGTCAGCAACTGCCGCCTCACTACATTACAAAAACCTGACCTTCCACTGATCTTGGGCCTGACTGAACTCTTGCCAGTATGAGCCTTCCTGCACCATGATGTAACGACCAGATTCCCTTAATGCAATCGCTGAATACTTTCCTCCAGACACGCGTTCGTCTTTGGACTCTTACGTGACCGTCACTTAACCTTGTCCTTTGTAGAAAGAAGGCTTACCTGACCTCTCATATAGTTTGTTAAATGACAGCATTAATGATGATAGTAATACTAATACTAATAATAATAATAACAATAATAATAATAAAAATAATAAAAATTATTTTATATTACCACGTGAACATACTGAATACAAACTCTAATCTACATAAGAGAATAATGCGTTGTTTGCTTTTCGGTGTTTATCAAGGTTATTAAACATCGTTCACAATATTGCATCATTTTAGTGCACTTAAACGAGCTATTTTATAGATTTCTGTATAGGAAAATTTGCTCCTTATCTGGAAAGGTCTGGTCATATCCACCCCAGGAATTGTAACTTACACACATCGTTTACATCACAGGTTTCTTAAAACTCCTAAGTCCAACATCGTTAATTTTAAACTGCTGCTCAAGTAGGCATGCCATTAATAACGATATTTCTCAGTACTGAATTACATACACTATAAGAGCGTAGTCATTATAAATTATTTACAGTTTCGTTTTTCATTATTCTTTATATTATTGTTAACCACATGTATTATGGAAAAATAAAAGTAAATCATTTTGTTTGGTGTAATCCGTTTATAGAAGATATGATCAACCAATCCTAACTTAGCCGTCTTATAATAATTTTAAGTTTTGAAGGTTAGATTAGGTTTACTTGATTCAAATATGTAATTTAGATACGCAAGAACAGTAAAGTATTACCTTAATTTCTCACATCGGTTTTTCAATGTCACACTAAATTTACTTCTTGTATGATCAATGTTTTGGATATTTCCCCGTAGCACACTTGCCACGTATATGGAAGCGATTAGTTAATTTATTTCACGAAAGCAGGTTATCCCTTACTTTTATCTATTACACGAAATTAGTTTATCTGTTACACGTATTTATTACACGAAACAAGGTTATCCATTAGGTTAATCTATTATACAAGAAGATAGGTTATCCAAGCTCTTCACTTATATCGTTATCCTTACCCACTATGTCTGAATTACTGCATATCCTTTCTTTTGAACGCCAGACTTTTTACCTCTATAGCCACATCTTGTAGTTACACCAAAACAGCTTTTTCCTTTTGTCACTCATATCATATTCTTAGACTATATGTTTCATCTGTTTCTTGACAGCTGCTAGCCAGTCGTGCCCCCCAGAGGACGTGCACTTCTTCTCAGACTCCCAGTACTGTGACAGGTATGTGGAGTGCCGGGAGGGCGTCCAGACCGAGCAGCAATGTCCTGACGGACTCCTCTTCAACGATCAGGTCACCAACGGCCGCTACCCCTGTGACTACCCCGCCGAGGTCGACTGTGGCTCCAGGAGTAAAACTCGTAAGTGTATTTGGGATATGGGGAGATAAGTGTGTTATTATATAAAATAAATATATTATAGACGCGTTCACATCTGCCCTTACCCGACCGTAAATTCGTAACATTACAAAATTCACCCAAACATATATTAGTATTACATATAGCACTTTTGCAAGCTTAAGAATTCATTTTTAGTGAAATTTCCTCGACATCATGAAGATTGACTTTCACTTTACATCTTTAAGTATTCAGATGCCTACTTACCTCTCTAAGTGAATTTTCTCAACATTATTTTATAAAAAATAACAAGAAAAAAAGAGATTGGGTATAATCGAGGAAGCATTTACAAGTCAAGATGAATCATTTCAAGGTAACTTGGCCGATGGTGAGATGCCTTTAATCATAGACCAATCTTTACTGCGCTGAGCTGCTCAGTTACAATAGAATACATTAAAAAAGCTTAATATATTCATATATTTCAGCATAAAGTGACGTACGTCATCTTTCCATGAAATTGACCATTAATATTAGTAGGATTTTATTCCATTTTGCTCCTAGTGTATAAAAAAATTCGTTTATATTGTCCACTGTTTTAAACAATCATAACATTAAAGTGTTTCTGCATTATAAATAATTTCATAATGGCAATATAAATAAGAGGGGGATCGGTGGTAGAAGCGGTACCGTTCTTGCCTCGCAAGAGAGATGTCCCGGATTCGATTCCCGGGCCGGTGGAAGTTGTTTGGACTTCCTTCCTAGCCCCCATTAGTCCCTGTTCACCTAGCAGTAAAGTAGGTACCTGGTGTAAGTCGAAAGTTGCGAATTCGCATTCAGGGACAAGTTGTTGGAGCTTCCAATAACTTGAGGACATAAACCACTGACTCTTCAGGCTTCTACGCCCTTAACTCATGAGACATAAAGGCAAGCATGAACTTAGCATGCTTCCCTGTTGGGCGCTGTAAACGCTTCTGCGCTTCACCTTACACAATGATGTAGGGGAGTGCCCAATAAAAAAATAAAAAAAAATAAGAGTTAAACTTTGCGTGTCCACACTAACCATCGCCTGCCCCACAGAGACCCCCCAGCCTACCGAGAACTGTGGTCACCAGTGGGGTTACTTTGGCTCCGGCGACCCACAACAGTGTGGCTTCTTCTACAACTGTGTCGACGGCGTAAGCCACCTGATCAACTGCCCCGCTGGCCTTGCCTTCTCTTCCTTCAGCTACCGCTGCGAGTGGCCTGACGAGTCCCCTGACTGCGACTCTGCTGGTACGTTACTCTGTTCATGCCGTATGCGACGTTTTGTCTGGATTTGTCCTTTGACTCATGTGACAATTAAGGTCCTCTTGTTTTTAATACATTTGATAGAGTTCAGGTGGGTTATGGTAATGGCATTCAGTTGTTTGATAAGCTTACTTTCTCCACTAGACTTGGGTATTTTTGTCATAGAAAAAACTTGTTTATAACCTCCTAATTGGGACATATCAGGTGTCGGAACTGTGATTATACTTATTCATTATTCTATACAAAAAATTACTTCCGTTATAAAGGTTCCCGGTAAGGACACAATTAGCTTAACGGCTTCGCCCTGTCGGATGAATTAGAGGATCAATAATATAAAACAATTTTTTTAGACCAATATTAAACATAATAATTAGGTAAATATGAAGGAATACTTAACACAATAAAAATATCACACAGTACCTCAGACTTCACGTACCAGATACTTCTTACCATACTGAACAAACCACAACCCGCGTCCAGGATTAGTCTCTTGATGCATATTTTGAAACCGAAGTAATATAAAAGAATGATTATCCGTTCCTGACCTTTTTTTTTATTCATAATTAGGAGGTAATTAAAAATATCCACAATAAGAACTTTGAATCATAGAAGTTACGGTGGGAAAGCATATCATTATCCAAGGGTTTTGTAATTCAAATTAACTGTTTATACAATATATGATAGTAAATTTTCGAGGATTGGCATAAGTGGTTTAGCCTTCTTTCTATATTTACTGATTAAAGCATTGGTCACCTTAGGATAGCTGACTCCTACTGGCATGTTATTTGACATGCTGAAAGTACCCTACCAACTTGTCTCTACAGTCCATAGCGAACTCACCACCGTCAACCATCCACTGTGTAGCCACCTCTATTACTCCAATAGTGGTATAAGAACAACACCCCAGAGGAGGCTATTTCACCAGACAATTTTCCAATGGATAAAACACACCATTAGAATAATACAGTGGACATGATCAAACAAAGTTTTTTTTTTAAGTTCTAATACCCTGTTAGCTTAGAAAGGGTGAAGTTATGTGAGAATTTTTACAGCCATATTAACTAGCACCTTCCGCCCACAGCCTTCCTTGGGTTCTCGTGCCCAGCGGAGTCTAACACACTTGCACTGGGCGGGTACACACAACACAGTTCTCCCCGTGACTGTCGCCAGTTCTTCATCTGCGTCAACAGTTCCCCAAGACTCCAGTTCTGCCAACTTGGTCTTGTCTTTGACGAGGTGACCTACACGTGTGTTGACCCACAGTACGTCTCTGGATGGTAAGTTTCCTCATATGTCTTATTTTTGTTTATTTGTTGTATAGCCTGTTCAGAATGCTGAGATCAAGAAAAAAATACAATTTTGGTTTTAGTAAAATAATATTAAGATAAAAGTTTCAATCTGTATACTTATAACAGTCAAATGACACGACGCTCGCTATCTGTCTGTATATCAGTTTCCGCACAAGAACCTGACATAATCCTTTGCTGTGCTTAACAAATAAGTACCCGTTAGCACACAGTAATTCATCGTAGCTTTGCCATACTTTAAAAGGCAGTTGTCCTCTGAGGTGCTCTTTGTTATGTCAAGTAATAATGATACCTAGAACCCATTACTGGCGTCATTCACTTAGTCTTTCATACCTTCCGTCTCTCACACTGTCTACCTCTCTCACCTTGTCTCACTGTCTCCCTCACAGCGAGAACTACTATACCCCAGAGGAGCTGGAATTGTACCGTGAACAGCGAGAGCGTCAGAGGCTCGCTGAAGAGAGGAGGAGGGAAGAACTGGAAGAACTTCGGCAACAGTTGGCTCAACGCAGGAGACAACAGCAGCCTTAAGGAATCCGACTATTGATTACTGGAGCAACGACAGCAGTAACGGATGAAGCACGCAGAAAACTACGACAGCGACAGTATGAGCCGCGACAGCCAACTCTACATCAATGACAACAATGATGCTTGATCATGCAGCAAGAACTCAAAACTGTAAAAAAAATTTCAAGCATTTTGGACGAGTTCAGCTGATTTGCATGTACCTGTATGTACCGACGATACCACAACAACCAGATCAATTACAACCGATTTTGCAATATTCTGAGTGAATAGTACAGACTGTGAGTTAGCAGCAATAAATATGAAACGTTTCCAACAACGATATCGTAGAGGAAATGATCGTCGGAGTCGCCTCGCATTCTTGTTCGGTTTATCATCCTCTAAGTGAAAAATAAGCAGAATAATAATCTTCTACACTTGACCTGCATGTACTCTATGGTTTTGTTAATAAGAATATGTGCTCTTCAAGATAAATATATAGTGTCTAGCTTTTAACAGTGATAAAGGAAGCTGCTTGTGTGCTATACAGCTATTATTACCGCAATTATTGATGAAACACAAATGACTTGATAGCTCCCTCTACAGTCGCAATTGTTAATATTAGTAATAGTTATTACAATCGATTATTTTTTTTATTTCGTGACAAGGAATATATATATATATATACACACATATATATATATATATATATATATATATATATATATATATATATATATATATATATATATATATATATATATATATATATATATATATATATATATATATATATATATATATATATATATATATGTGTGTGTGTGTGTGTGTGTGTGCGTGTATTTTGATACAAACTGATGAACAAACACCATTACTATGAGTATTTAAAACATGGATATAACACAACCATTAGGACCCACACACTCATAGAAGATCAGTGCCAAACTTTCCTTCTCTTCTAATATTTTCTCCCTTTGTCATTTTTATTTTACCTTTTCTTCTTCTTAACATACGTTCATCCTTCACCCTGCTCATATTCTTAAATTTCTTGCTCCTTTTCTCGTTTATATCTATCATCTTCCCCTACGACTCCTCCTCGAATCACACTCTCTCATCCCTCTTTCTTTTTTCTGCCTCATCCCGCTTCCCTTCATTTCTTCTGTTCTTAGTTATTCTTCCTTTATCTCTTTATATCCTTTTCCTTCTCCTTCGTCTTCCCCGGCCTCATCTCTCACCCTCCTTCTTTCTTCCTCACTTCTACCTCCTCCTTCATCCCTTCCTCCTCCTCCTCTTTCACAAGTGTTGAACAAAACACAAAAATTACACACTCCAGTCAACCGTATTATGTATGTCACATGTATATGCTTGTATGACCAAGTATTAGCCATTAAAGGCCTTATTGTATTCTATATGCTGTGAATTATTTACTATCCTTAGTTGTTTGTTTGTCGCATTCCATATATTGGTGTACTCCAGCCTTGGACAGGCTATCTCTGTTAATATTATAGGGTCAATATGGTGAAAATTAATGGCGTACTTTTCCACTAATCATCCCCTTGTAAATGCTTTTATATAGTAACTTAGTGCTTGAAGGAAAAAACAATATTTGACAATCCATTTTGAAATGTATAAAATCAATTATATACTGTATTATAACAGTACGAACGTGTTGATAAATAACGACATAACTACTTAGTGACTTTTCGATAATATCTTGCCATCGTCAGACCCAAACATATGAAATGAAATACAATAATATCATCATTATTAAAAATTAAATATGGCAAATATTAATTACCATACAGTATTAGATACATTGCTATAAATGAAATGAGTCAAATTCGTTCATAAAACATCAAAAAACATCGGAAAAACAGTTTCAACTTCGATTTCGTATACTGGCAACAAGTGAAATTTTACCCACCATAATTATAACACTAAAACATTGAAACAGCAATAGCTAAACATTCAAGCGTTTAACAGACACAGCAAAATCACAAGAGGTATCGGAATCTCAGAACCTAATACTAAAGACAATATATTGTTATGCCATGGCATAATTTAGAATTATAATTTTTGTGAACTAAGAGTTCTGATTATTTTCTATCCCGAGCAGCAATTATTTTGGCAAGCTTGGGGAGATTTTCTTCTATATATTGATGTATTACTTAAGTAAGAAATTCCTAGAATGTATTTTATTATTTTTTTTTTATGGTTTACTTACGTATTGTAAGCCTCGATCAGAGTAGAACATTCTAAAACTTATCAGGTGTATCTCGTTCCGACCTGCAACGCCTGGATGTCACTAGAATGCTCTAGGCGTCTAAGGAGAGTTATAAATAGCACCAGCGAGGCGTCTGGTAAAAAGGCAGTCGCCTGTTCTGCTCTAAGTGTGAAGTACAAGCCCAGTGACAGCTGAAGATAATTGGCGTTCTAGCAGCTGCATTGTGGAATTTTTTGTGAGCGATTTAAAGTGAAAAGACGAAGGAACTGTACACTGGTAGTGTGCTGACTGGACATTTTCGAAGTGAGAAGTCCAGTGGTAATGTGAACAGTTTTGTGATTATTAAAGAAGCCTACAGTTCACAGGTGTGTTCCTGTGACCTGATGGAAATCTACCCACCGATTGTGTTGCTTAGACACTGATACCGATTGTCGGGAAATTATCGGAGACTGGTAATTCGACGACATTTGTGATATATCTACTGCTTCTGTATATACGTCCTGGCCGCTGGTAACCAGCTCTGGACGCTGGTAAGCGGCGAAAGGGGTTCGTAACAATACAAAGATAAGCAAATGATACCAGCAAGTACATGACATACCTGTTAGAACAGTAAACAGTAGGGGAATCGTGGATGTCACAGTGACCCGTGTCGTCAGGGTAAGTGGTAAGGATAATACATTCTGCCTTAAGAGGCTATCACACGCGGGTAAAATTTCACTTATAGCCACTATACGAAATCGAAGTTAAAACTACGTTTTTCTAGTGGTTTTTGATGTCTTATGATTAGTAGAAGACACACCAGTAGCAGAGTGGAAATACATCTGGACCCTCGGGTAAACAAGTGAGGAACCTGGGCTACTGCTCGACCAGGAAAAGCTACCACTTAATCGTCAGAAGAGACGGCACACACACACACACACACACACTGTTTGTGGCGGTAGGCGATGGCTGTGATTGTTTGTGAGGGGAGATGATGGCTGTGATTTTTTTGTGGGTGGTAGGTGTTTAAGGATTTGATATCTCATGTTACTGTCACCTGCTGTTTTCTTCCTTGCTGTGTCGAGTGCTTGTTTGACTTCCGTCGGGGTGAGTGGTGTGGTGAGGATGTTTTTCCTGTGTGAGTGTGGTGGTGTCCACGAGTATAGTGTTTTCTGGTGTGGGGCTGTCGTGTAGTCCTTTTGTTTGTGGTGATACTGTTTATGTGGTTTAAGATGGGTCTGTGTTGGATGGGGGGTGTGGGTAGAAGATGTATTCCCAGTGGGGTTTTTTATGTTTGTGCTATTTCATCTGGCTCTCTGATTCATCTGTCATTAACTTGCAGATATAATCGAGGAAAGGCCGAGCTGTTCCCCTCATCCTCCCAATCCTTTTCCAGAATTCTCGGGGGTTGTGTGTCCTGTGCTCCTGGTCGGCCTCTTCAAGAACTTACCCATTGCACGTCGTGATCTTGGCGGAGGCTGTGGATGATATGTGTTCTCAGTGTGGTGATGTTTGCTTGCGCGGGTGCAAAGTTTTGCTTGTTCTGTTTAAATCGTCGTATGTCACAGTGTAGTAGACGTTGTGTTCTTATGGGGGGTTTGAAGAAGTATCTTTTCTTGTGTGTCTTGGTATGTGCGTGTCTGCCGCGGTGGCATTTGTGCTAAAAATTTGTGACCATGTTTCCTCTATTTTTCCTGTGGGTTGATGTTCATGGGTGAATGTGAAATGTTTTTCTTCCTGTTTGTATTGGTATTGGGGTGCAGGTTGTAGGGAGAAAGATGGAATTGTTGGAGAGGTGTAATGATGGGTATGTGCTATGAGCCTGATAAAGGACCGGGTGAAATGTGCTGAAATTGAAGGCGCTCCAGGTCACTACCCACTACTTTGGCTCATCCACTCGTTTGAGACGAGCTGTGTGTACTGTTTCAAGATCCTGCGTCTGCGACTTGTGTATGGAGTCAGACCACCACACTGAAATGTGTAAATTCACATTAAAAGATGCGATCCACCTTTTAGTAAAAACAGGGTGGTGGACGATAAGATGTCATTTGGGTCACATTTCAAAATTTGTTTGTATGTCGTGCATAAGGGGCTTTTATTCATCTTTCAATTAAGGGCCACGATAACTTTACCACCAACTTTACATAAATTACATAAATTTAATATCAGTTATCACTAGAATATTTTTTTCAAAATTCTTCGTAATATCATATCACGATAATCACTCATATTGTTAATAATGACAGAAACAAACCCTCTGTGATTAACCTTGGCAAGGGTTAGGTCCACATGTTGCCGAGGTGATAAACGCCCATCAATGAATCTACAAGAGCACATGTAAACTATAAAGCATGTGAATCATTAACGTTGCCGGACCCAGTAATGAGTAAGAGTATATCCAGTTGTATTAAACTATTCTCCTCTTTCCAGGCAGCTGTGTGCACCTCACGTCTCACCGAGTGTTTTCAACAATACATGTCTTACTTTCAGATGACTTTGCAGTTATATTGGATTAGGAACCATAACTCTTATTTTTGTAGATTACCTCCATGTTTAATACGCCCTACTGTCAATAAATTTCAGGTTGTGTGATTTTCTATACGTGTTCATGGTGAAACCAAGAGGTCGCGAATACACATTAATGTGTTTGCCAATTTTCTGGGTACATTTTTATGGCAAATTACTATACATACTGTAGTCTGACAATTAAGTTCGCGAACTCATGCTACAGGCACCAGTATGTACCACAGTGCTCCCAAACCCAGAAAATCTGACCAAAACTCCTTGTGAGTAAATTTAATGAAAATTAATTCTTAAGATAAACAGGTTTGGGGGTTCATAACACCACTATATTAATTGGATGTGATGCGTTGTTTTTAATTTAGAGCATTTAAGTTGTTGCACTGAAACTGCAAATGCGTGTTTTGGGTTCTGGATACCTCTGGTAATACTTGAAATATTTTGTATATATTATTTTGTAACAAGCATTGCATGCCGAATACAAAAAATGCATTAAATGCCATATGTTGCATATTCGTTGCATGTTGCAAATACATGAAGTTAAATAAGAAT